AAAAATCAGCTCACGGGTCCTGAAAAGGTAGGTCTAGAATCCTTTTCTTTTTCCCCTTCTTTTTGTAGCACAAGGGAGGGGTCAGGACTCATGATCCCCTCCTCCCAGATCCACCAATGTGAATTGCGAGAAAATGTAACTCGGTCGGGTACTGGATAAACATTCTCTTTCCCATTCTTCTCCTTCTTCCCTCCTTCTTTTTTTGCATTTCCGATCATACAAAGTTCTCCAGACATTATATATTTTTCGCCAAAAAGTGGGGGGGGGCGGGCCCCCCGGCCCCCCGGTTCCGCCGCCCATGATAAGTAATGCCTTGCTTGAATGGCTATCGGCAGAGGGAGTGTAAGGTATTATATTGAATAGCTAACCAAAACATTACCAAAAACAATGATTAATATCATATCTTTGTAAGTACTTGGCCAATTTTAACGAGAAAAGCGTGAAAATGTTCAAAATCATGAAATACAACATTATTCGTAGACCACTATATAATTTATGGCATAACATTATAAAATAAATGTGCATCAGTCAAGGATTGTTTATGTGTAAGTGCAAAAACCTAAGAGATTAATCACCAGATAAAGACTAATCATTTTTTTCCCATTTAGCCATGGATCTCGACTTGCAATGGGAAACTGGTTAATGGAAAGTTTTGAGAGAAACACTGAAGCCGAACCTGCCAAGATGCATTATACTTGCAGAACAAATTGATAACGACGGTAGAGTAATGACAAAAAAGTGAGCATTCTGATGACGAGAATGATGAAGTATTAACTTATTGTGTTAATCATTTTGAATTATTCCAGTAAGTTAATAGAATTGAGATCAGCAAATATAGGCTAGGCAATCTAGCTAAAAAAGAGCCAAAAGTCAAACAAATTGCAAATAAACTTCTCTAGATTAGAAATATATTATATAGAGCGGGAAGATGGTAATAAACGAGGGCATTAGTGACTTTTGAACAAAGGTTTTATTACAGAGAACATCAAATAATATCTTCGAAAAAATAATTATTTGATAATTATTTTGAGGATAATAAATATTTTCCAAAATGATCAAATATTCCATTTCTGCATGCTCTGAACAATTTCAAAAAAAATGTGAAAAAAGAAAGCAACTACTTGACACCAGCAGTTTTCAGGATATAAGAACACTATATTTTCATCCATAATTGGCATAATTAGGCCAAGGACGTAAATTTTATATACAGGAACGGGACATGAGACAAATATATTATCTAAGATGCCCTTAAATAATAAAGAAAGAAAAATGAATTTGAACAATATATTAGGTTTCTACAGACATTAGTGTCAGAGATATACAGTATGCAAATTCTGTGAATATCTATAGAGTCGGGGGTCCATTTTAGCATGTTGGTTATTGTGGGTCAAATGTGTGATTTATGGAATTTCATGTGCTCATCATATGTATTTGGTTACAAAAAAAAACAACCTTTGTTTGCAATTTGTTGTAGATTGCCTAGCCTAATAGTGATAGTTTTCATAGTTTAGTTGTCTCTTTGTTTATATAAGAAAGACATTTTTATTGTATGGAATAAATAGTACTATTCACTTCAGAAAATTGTCACATTTTGCATTTTATAAGCCAAAATGTGTACATAATAATAGTTGATATAGGCCTATTGGAAATTAGTATACCGGTCGCCCAAGCTTTTTGAAATAATTATTTTGTTATTTAATGGGCACAGAATGTCCAATAAATGGAGAAGTGGTATCATAAAAACGAACATTTGATTTTAAACGATTTTTGTGGTGGGCATCTTGAATTTTAAAATGGCTGCCATCCTTAATTTTTAAATTTTTATTGGACATCAGAGTGCATAATAACACACTAGTAGACACCAAATTTGTTACAATTTTCGATTAAGTGGAATTATAACAAAATATTTTGATTTTCAGCTATTTTTGTTTTAAATTTCAAAATGGCTGCCATCCTTGCTTTTTTTTAAACCATTTTTATTGGACTCATGGAGAATAATAACATATGACTGGACACCAAATTTACCATATTTGAAAAAAAATAACATGAAAACCAACTCGACAATCGACAGTGACAATCGATCTATGGCTGTAGCGACGGTGATGATGAAGACGGTGATGATGAAGAGTTCTTACGTTAAGCTAAAGAAAGTGACCCTGTGGAGATAAGTGCATTTTTTAGTTTGTCTACCTCGAGTAAATTTAGAAAACGAAAATTGCGTTAACATGAAAGTTTAATTACCCGTTTATTAACATTAATCAGAACAAAACAAGGGCTTTAAGTTATGCTAAGGCAGAAAAAGGCAAACATAATAATTTGTGTAGGCCTAATATAGTGAGACATAAGCCTACTTTATTCTTTTTACTATATTTGAACGAAACAATTTTTACGATTTACGCCTATATTATTAAACAAAGTTTAATATTACAATATCTGAATATCAAAATAAAATAAAAAAGTTGATATTGTAACTGTATCATGGCAATATAATTATTGCCTATTGTAGTTGTGATAATAGAAGAAATAGTGTCTCTTAATAGGGGTTGAACTGGCCATTTGGTAGTCTATCCCTTCCACTATTAAAGGGGTTCGTCGTATTATTACAAAATAGTTTTGAGTGCAAAAAACTAATCTTAGTTTTGTAGAAAAAGGAGACAAAGCACAAGCACATAAAACAAAAAGAGCAATACAATTGAGACAGGATAACACATACATCAAAAGAGAACAGTTGTTGAAATAAAAAGTATTTTTAAACACAATACGTTCTTGGGAAATCAAACATTTAGTTCATAATGTATTCAATTCGATTATATTATAAGACGAAATTTTGTTTTTTAAATGAGATTCATATGAAAAGTAGTGTAGGTCCATAGGCCTACTTGTGTAGGTTTTTAAATATTCAAAACTACTTACAACCTTAATTTGGATATCAAGGAAACACACGCGCAAATTAAAGCTTAAATGCTTCTTAACTTATATTAATTACCGAGTACAAAATTATCCGATACAAAATATTGATTAATAAGAGTACAGTCAGCCGCCAAGGTTTGTAACTGTAGTGGGGACCAGCAATACAATACAGTTATTAGTCAGACCATATTCCTACATAGCCCATAGCTAATGCCGAGAACTAGCAATTGGATTGCAGGGCGAGTACCAAATAGGCTTAAATAAATAAAATAAATAATTTACTCGAAAACTACACTTTTGAAAGAGTCGCACACTTTACATGGTAAAGGTGCGTCCAAAAACAAAAGTAAACATGAGATAAGCGGCAATTAAAAAAATAGAAACAGAATACAGTAAAAAAAACAACGTTTCAAAAACAAGTTGAATAAACGTCACTATAGCATTTCCCTTATCTATAAAAAGTTCATCTTCTTCACGAGCGCACAAAATCTACTCTACTCATCCGTACCCTCCCCCACCCACAGAGTTAAATGTGGAAATACTTCAAATATCCCCCTCAAAATGAGTATTTTTTACTTTTATGAGAATGGAACAAGTTGCAAAGTGGTCAAATAATTTAAGATTTTATTTTAAATTAAAGCTTATATATGTATGATTATAGGTAATATAAAGATTTTCCTTTACGTATTAAAGTGGATGTCAGGGCATTGTAGGTGTGCGCGGGGGAAGGTTTAAAATGATTTTAACTCGAGTGTAATTTTTCTTTTGAGGAGGGGTGCGAATGGACACACACGCGTAACAAAAAAAAGGACTCTCCTCCAGTCTCTTCCCCCTAAAGATAAAATCTCAACCCACTTTATTTTGTGAGCATTCGTCCCTTCCAGGGGTGTCACCAGCGAGGGACAGACCTCCCCCCTCCCGTCGAGGAGGGCTTCCCCCACCCCCCTCCGTCGGGGAGAAAAAGCACAACTCGTCGGAGATTAAAAAAAAATAGTATATGTATTTTCTACATAGGCCTATTAGTAAACTCTAAAATCGATTAAATAAGCCTTTGAAACCCCTAAATTGTTAAAATTTGCGGGGGGAATTCTCCCCCTGGACCACTTTCGAAACCTTTTAATGGAAACTCCACCACGCCCACTTTGCTTTCGTCGGGGAAATCTGACCCCTCGTCGGGGCATCGGAACCCCGTCGGGGACGGGATCCACTCGCTAGTCATAAGGTTCTCTATTTATAAGGTCCACTTTTCCTAAGGTCCGCTAGCTATAAAGACAATTAAGGTTCACTATTCATGATTTTTTTTAAAATTCATAAAGCTCATTATTTATAAGGTTCGCTAATTATAATAGAATAACAGGGTCATAATAAAGGGTTAATTACTCATAATCAAGAAAGGAGTTCGTTATTTATAATTTAAAAAAAATAGGACCGTTAATCATAAGGTTCGCTTTTCATAATTAAAAAGAGGTTCGCTATTCATAATTTTAAAAAGAGGTTCCCTATTCATAATATAAAAAAAGAGGTTCGTTATTCATAATTAAAAAAGAAAGTTCGCTATTCGTAATAAAAAATAAAGAAGTTCGCTTGTCATAATAAATAAAAGATCGCTTGTCATAGAAAAAAAGGTTCGCTAGTCATAATAAAAAGAGGTCCACTATTCATAATTTTAAAAAAAAGGAGCCCCAAACGCTAGTACACATTTAATTGTGATACTTTTTATAATAACTCTTTAAATAATAGGAAGTAAACAAAAGAAATTTTCCTATTATCTGAAGCTTTTAAAATGTAATTATAAAAATTTATAAAATATAAAAATAAAGTCTATATTTAAACAACCCGTAAAATATTTGAATTCATAACTGTAACTATTAAATATAATTTAAAACCACACTTGTTGTTTACAAGGTCTACCTTGAGATTCATGAAAAGTATTATACTCATCTTCATATCAATGCTCACCGCCCCTTTCCCCTTCGCTTGTTTCCTGAATAAAGAGTTACGAAGTATCTGGTCAAAGTCAAGAAAGTTGTACTAATAAGACCTACAAGTAAGGCATATATATATATGTTCTATTTTGTTCTATTTTGGCATAATACTAATATAATACTAATTATAAAATAAGACTATTTTATAATTAATTAGACTATTAATAATTAGACTATTTTATCTGAAGAGTGCTGCACCATGTATGTGTAGCACGAAACTAAATAGTAATAAATATGTCTAATCAAAGCTACTGTTGAACCTCTCATTTTTTGTCTTTAATTC